ACAATTATTGAACATTTGACGGGGAGACTATTTTTGGACTACTTTGAGTTATACTCTTGTCTCCCCTCCCTTCTCTCTCCTTCTTCTCCTCCTCACCTCCATCATCCGTGGCTTGCTCCCCGTGTGTGTGCGCAAGGAGGGATCTTTCTTCCATGTATGACTCCCCTCCTTGCTGATTCGACATGTGTCATGATGTCTGTGTGAGTCCAGTCTGAGTTTGACGAGTCAGGTAATATCTTTGACGTCATTTCTTCTCTGGATGCGCATTGCTTATTTGCTGATTGCATTGTTTGTCCTGAGTCCTACTCTTCACATCGGTGCTCCTTCAGATCTGCGCATCACTCATTTTCAGGCGAGCATCCATCGGATATGATGGTGGCAGTGGGGAAATTTGAATGCCAATCCCTTGATAAATATTTGTTCTCCTAGATTGTCAATCAATGAATGTGGGCCATGTGATGAAAGCATAGGCACACAGTTCAGATCTTTATTGGGAGAATTTTTGGAGGCAAGCAGCTATGGGAGATTGCGCTGTGATAAGGTCAATTGCCTGTGCAGTTTCATTTTGTAACAAACCAGAGGGTTGCCTTTAATCTAATATTTTCATATGTTTCTTGTTATTCTCCCAGAGGGGACTGTGTTCGGGTTTGCCATCATTATTCCTTGGCTTGTGCTGGCAACATGGTGCAGTGTTCAACCACAATATGCAGATTTGCTGTCACATGCTCATTTCCCGAACTGCTTTGTGCAGGTTATGAACCTCTATTCTTCATTCCTCGGGGACTCTCATCACCGAGTAGCTCAGGCAGCTCTTGCGGCTTTGGCGGAACTCCTACCATTGTGTCGAAAGAGTTTTGAGGTTGGTTCAAGTAGCCCTTTCACCTTACAAGATTTATCAACTATCAAGAGTGCTCCATGTGGTTTGTTGCCATCCCTCACCCCCTCCCATTTGAATTCTCCTGGGCGAGGTTTGGCTTCGTTTCTTTTTCTTTTTCTGTTCCCATTCTGTTTTGTTCAGCTCTTGGGACAACTGTCACTTCAGTGCAAAACTTACCGAGTATTACAGCCTTTACAGGTACTGCAGTCTGATATTTCTGGAACCAGTTTTTTCTGTTTCACAATGGCCCACACAGTTGCAGTCTCAGATTTTCACATTTTCTGAGAATTTGTGTTTGCCCACCTGCTGCTGTCTTGCTGGCCACCGCTAAATAGCTGGCGTGGCAATCGTCAACACCAACGTGCCATGCTATAAGGACATGGACAGAGTTTGGCAAATGTGCTAAGGCATTGGCTACGCATGTGCATGGCTGGCAACTACCCAGGTTCAAATCCCGGCAGCTGCACTCCTGGATAATGATGTAATATAATTCGGGAGTGGGACAGCGTGGACATGTGGCGCATGTGCATACAGCGGCCTTGGCCTTGCCGCTTCCGTGCACGCGTAGTGACAGCGCTCTCCTTTTTCGCCACGTGTGCGCCACTCAGTGCTGCTCACTTTTACTGCTGTTTCCCGTCTTCTGGTTCCGAAAAAGAGCCAAAATCCTGCTATTGGGATTACATCATTTTCTCAGACTTGCGGGATGGCATGGGTGGGAGCGGGGACCGTTCCCGCTCTGATACCAGTGTGACGGACCCGCTGGGATGGCAGTCCGTCAGAATCAAGACGAAGGGATAAGGACAGGGGAGATGGAGATGGAGCTGGAAGGGACAGCGCAGCTCCAACGCAGATGCAACACGCATGATACATGCCCAATCGTGCGATGTATGGGAGCCGAGGATCTGCAATGTGATGAAAAGGACTTGTATGGACAATGCAGTGTCAGCCAAGCATCAACCAGCAATGTACATCCAGGTACATATGCAAATAGCACAATGTAGCGCATCAGAAGACTCAAAGATATGACTTGACCTGCCAGATACTGACGCGACACCCCATCATACACCACACATATGAGAGCACGAGGAGGGACCCCATACACAGAAGAACGGTCCCTCCTTGCACACACATATGGGGGGGAGATACCATGGACAAGAGATGGAGGGAGGCGAGACGAAGATGGAGCCGAGGGAGATGACCAGGATCGCGATAGTGAAGTCCAAAAAATAGTCCCTTGCCGAGTGTCCAATCAATGTCTGCCGCAAAAATGTCGGATGAGAGCCCGTGAAACCTCTGCGAGTAATCTCTCTCTCTCTCTCTCTCTCTCTCTCTCTCTGAAGAAGAAGAAGAAGAAGGTAGGAGGGATGGCGGGCGAAGAAGAAGATGTCGTCCTCCTCGCTGTCTCACCTGCAGGTAGTGGCCTGGTGCTTACTGCGTCGTCGTCGTCAAGTGTGCAGGTCGCCAGCGTGGAGCCCCAGCTATGGTGCCAGGTGAGCTCGTCACTGCAGGTAAGGCCTCCGCCCCTCTGCCTACCTATCCTCTACTCTAACGCAGCGCTATCGCGTGCAGTGCTGGTCCAGCAGCGTGTCGCCCAAGAAGTGAGTTACTCGAACTGTGTGTATACCCCCAGCAGACTGACTGGACTGGACTGGACTGGACTGGTACCGACAGTGGTACCGGGCAGGACTGGACTGGACTGAATGAGCACACGGCCTGTGGGGTCAGGCCACGACCTGGTCCCACAGGCCGGACAGGCAAAATAGCCAGATAGCCCTGGCTCTAGGCGAGGGCAGCTAGAGGCATGCTGCAAACAGGGAAATATACACTACTACACTTGTGTGTGGTGCTGTGTGTGTAAACACACTCTGATGTAGCTTCAGTCCACAACAAGTGTACTCCGCCCGGCGACCCCCAAGGAGAGACCCATGCACTAGACAAGTTGAAGACTATTCTAACAACTCCCATAAAACTTTTCGGCCGCGGACGCGACTCTCGCGTCTGCGATGGTCCACGTTAGTGTTTTCCCGTGGAGACGTCCGATGTAAAAATTCTGACGCGCGTCGTGAAGCGTGAGACGTCCGATGTAAACTTTTCGGCCGCGGACGCGACTCTCGCGTCTGCGATGGTCCACGTTAGTGTTTTCCCGTGGAGACGTCCGATGTAAAAATTCTGACGCGCGAGTG